AGCGAGAGCAAACAGTAGTGATAGAGAAAAGGATGAAGAGAAGGATAGGGAATAGATCAGGGAATCGGGAGACGTCGATTGACATTACATTTGAATAGTTGGAGATTATAGGTATCAGGAAAACAGGAAGAGGGGAGGGAGTTCCACAGACGGGAGGTGAGAGACATGAAGCTATTGGAGTAGAAGAGATGGCTAGATTTAACTGTTTCAACAGTGAAAGGGTGAGAGCGAGATGCCAGCCTAGTAGAATGCTTAAATTCATGAAGTTTGGGAACCAGCGAAAGCAGATCCTCGGAGCAGTTTACCATGAAAGTATTTGTAAAAAAGACAGAGGAAGGCGACGGCGCGTCTGTGAGAGAGCGACTGCAGACGAGATTCCAGATTAGGGCCTATTACGTTGCATATCCGTCTCTGGATCTTATCAAGAACCTTGAGACAAACATAATGGGCTCCAGACCATATATGGCAGCAATACTCCATGCAATGGGTGAATCGTTGATTTGTAGATTTGAAGGATCGACTCCGGCGAGAAAAAATTCCTGGCGCAGCACAGGGAGCCAACTTTCCTTGCGGTGGACGAAGCTATTGACTCAATGTATTTGTTCCATCTCAGGTCAGCAGTCAATGTGAGACCGAGTAGTCGCAAGGAGGTGCTCTCATGTAATTGAGCGTCAGACATTCTAATGGGGGGGCAGGGTTGGTTCTCTGTGGTGAGTAATAGAGTGCAATTTTGTTTTTGAGGCCTGCTCCAGTTCACTGCCGATTGGAGGTCCCTTTCGAGACTTAGAAGTAACTTAGAAGTAACCAGCACCTCTAAAGATGTGGATGAGATTCATTAGAGGTTTGCTTAAAACTTACTATCGGCAAATTCTTAACATCACTTCTGAATAGACTACTTACTTTTGTTTATGGAGGTGCGGTGGTGAGATAGCGACTGGAATAGGAGAACTGGGTTCGAATTCAACCCGACTTCGTTACATCCACTTACCTGTAACTGTAGCGACATTCACCCGGGGTGGGTTGAGCCGGCTCCAATATTGGAGTTTCATGGGAATTTGGAATTCACAAGCGGTCCCCAAACCCACATGTATAGCACATGAGATTTGATTATAGTGGTGAAGGTTTCGTGCAGGACCATCCACACTTTTTGAAGTGCCGATTACAGAGATCTGTGCCACAAGGTCTCCAAACGGCCCTCCGCAGGTTTTGAATTCAGAGTTGTCCTTCTCCTAGACCAGTTGCCATCCAAGGCTATAGAACCTAGTCTGTTCTGCTATTTACCCATAGCTGGAGGGAAAAGAAGAGGATTCATACCTTCCCCAAGTGTATTAGCACGTAAGTGAATGTAATGGATTCGACTGGAATTCGAACTCGGCTCTCTAATTCCTCAATCCAAGCCACTATCCATTATTCCACCGTGCCCCTTCTGCAAATTTATTTGCCCCCCACCCCACGTGGTCAGGTTGTGACACAAGGTCGGTTTAATGTGGGGAGCCCGAGCGCGTGCACCCGGGCAAGGAACAAAAATCCCCCCGAGCCCCCACAACCGTCGGTTGCACTGGCCTCGGTGCGTGCACCGATCCTTCTCCCTAGTGCAATGAGAAGGCGCGGCCTCGGGCAGCTGTTTCCCAGGGCAGGGCACCTCTCAGCATAATTTTCTCAGTTACGACTGTGTCCTTTCATGGAGTCGCTCCTGAGCGCACTCTGTCCAAGGACAGAAACGCAACTGAGAGATGATAAGTGATGTGCATAAATTACTTATAGTAATTTACGCACGGAGGACGGTAAGCGGAAGCACAACAAATGCAAGAGATGTTAAAGAGAGCTAGTCCACCTATGACCGCAACTGGTCAATGATGGTGTGTACGGCTACCGTACTGAAGACTGCAGTGAGTAGGGCCTGATTTTGGGATTTGCATATCTATAGGCTAGACTTTGCTTTTATTTTTTGAAATAACGTTAAACTTAGAATACGACATAAGCCTCACTATGTTGCGTTATTAACCGATTTTCGGAAAAAATAAATAGGATCATTGTTTTGAGATTTAGATATTATGTTAAAACGTTTAACAAAATTCGAAAATGATCAGTTTTTATTTTTATAAACCTTCAAATCTAGTAATAATGTACATAAATCAATATATTTGCAATATATTTAATTAATGGTGGTTTGATGTGATAAAATAAGAAAGGAAACATCATTCTGGCTTTATCTTTATTTATTATACAGTAATAACCTTCCTTCCTTCTGAATTTTTGGTTTCGTATTATAAGAGAAGCCCCCCTGATATTCTGGCTTTTTTTACCTTTGTACGTGAGTCAATGTTTGAAAATGTTGCCTAAGGTATATTATTGACCGAAAAAACTTGTAAGGATGCGTCAAAGTATGGTAGCTATCCATTAACGTGACCACTCCTTCAGACATTTAACGGAACTATTTTTATCCTCCTTACGTTTCCTACTTCTGGATCTGCCAAGCTTTACATAACAGCCTACACATTTTTCCCTTTTGCCTTGAAGCTTATTAAAGCTGCCGAAGAGAAGTTGGCTAAATTATCTTTCCTTTTTCTTTTCTCTTGATCTATTTACTTGCTATATGTGTTGTATCGGAATAAATACTGGTTTATTTTTGTTCATGTCAACCTTTATAAGCATAAATTCTCCAAGACTGCTTAGCTATTGACGTACTAAGTTTAGCGAATTCTGATTTTACAAGCTTTCAAAATGAGCAGGCCATTGTTTTTAAAGTTTCTTCAGAGGTATTCTCCTTATCCAATGATTTTAATCACATGAAAAATATATATCATATGTCAGCAATAATAATCGTCAGAAGATTAATTCTGAGCCATGAAAATGTTTTAAAATGTATACAAGAGATCGTTCAAAATGCCAATATCCTTTTTTTTCTACTACTCATATTGTAAAAACACTGTAGAGCATTTTTAGTTACCTCCCCTTAAACGGTGTCAGTGGTCACATTCTTTTCACTCCACATATAAGAAATTTAATTTTCAAATTATTACAACAAATTTTGTCTTTCACAATAATGAACACTACAACAATTATCTTGTAACAGACACTACCCTGATGATGACATTGTGCTATGTCGAAAGTACTGGGAAATTAACTGAAATATGTATCAACAGCGTGATTTTCAATAATGACATTAACAAGCTTATCGGGAATATGAAAGGACCCTATCACAAATAAGTAAACAAAACATGTCTAAATTATTCAAAGAAACACACACATACACACACACACACACACACACACACATATATATATATATATATATTTATTAAAGACATTTTTTATATTTAACGTTCATTTTTTTTTTATAGATACAATATTTAAGTAAATGCTCTGTCCATTTCTTAATATATGACGTCATTTGTTTACATTTGATACGCCAGAGCAGTTATGAATGTACGAGATTCATGGAAGATTGAAGTTTATAAGCAGTAAATTCGACCTTGCCTACCCAACGCTCCTTTGTGGCCGAGACGGTAAGGCACGTCAGCGTAAATGACGGTTCCGTATAGGATGCAGGTTCGAATCCTGTCAAAGGAAAAATTTCTCGGACATTCAGGCCGGTAAATGTTATTTAATACTGTTTATTATAAACAGAGCATTTACTTAAATACTTGTATCTATAAAAAAAGAAAAAAGAACGTTAAACATAAAAAATGTCTTTAATAAATAAATTGTCGGACTGTGTCCATTTCTTAATATATGACGTCATTTGTTTACATTTGATACGCCAGAGCAGTTATGAATGTACGAGATTCATGGAAGATTGAAGTTTATAAGCAGTAAATTCGACTTTGTCCATTTCTTAATATATATATATATATATATATATATATATATAATGTCATTCGTATACAGGCCTGTTTCGAAGTTCAGCGATGTAGAGAACGCAATTTTCATATTGTTAACTGAAAATAACGTCAGTTATTGTCACGTGTTGAGAATATTGTCATTAAAGCTGTGTTTGGTGGATTCAACCATTTTCTTTTGATTTTACGATATTGTTGTGTACGGTTGTTTGGCAGAGCAGTAATTTCAGTTAACAATATAAAAATAGCGTTCTGTTATTTTTTTTTTTTTTTTTTGTTATTAGTTACTTTCTTTAATTAAATTCATTCCGTTTTTTGCATTGAGAAAGTCCACATTGGACGAAACGCGTCAGCAATCACTAGAGTTTTCCTATTGTCATTTATATTTATAAATATTGTCTTTTCTATAGGTTAACTCTGAGACATCATGCAGTAGGAATTAAGATTACATGAGGTTAATGATCATTTTCACCATGTAAATTGGAATAAAATTTACAAGGATTATAAAATTTGAAAAAAAAAATGAAAATATAGTTCTTAGAACAGGGAATAATTATAATATATAATTAATATGGTGTAAAATGGAAATATAGAAATTAGAATTAGTTATTCATTCGACATTTGAAGAGTTAGAGAAATATAGTAGCTAATAAATAAAATCTATATTATTTTATATCGACATTCATTACACTGATTTAATAGTTGACTTTGATTATTCCATTTTATTATTGTATTATTTCTTCTAAATGTGATTCACACCTCTAAGACTATTAGGAGTATGTGCGAAACCTATACTCTTTCAAACACTCTGTGGATTCAAATCTTTCCCTTTCATTTCAATATATATATATATATATATATATATATATATATATATATATATATACACACACACACACACACACACACACATATATATATATATATATATATATATATATATATAAGACATCATTTACGCCTTTTGCCTTTCCCGTTGAAGGGTTTAGCTTTCGTTATTGATTCCCAAGTGATAATTGGATTTTTATTCTCGCTTTCCTGTTTACAGAAAAAAATGTGGTGGTGGTAGAAGCTAAACTATACCAAAACAGTATATTTATTATTATATATATATATATATATATATATATATATATATAAAAAAAGGTATCAACAAAGTGACAAATTTCTTAACACCAATTTCTCTTTCTCTCTCTCTCTCTGTCTCTCTCTCTCTCTGTCTCTCTCTCTCTCTGTCTCTCTCTCTCTGTCTCTCTCTCTCTGTCTCTCTCTCTCTCTTTCTAGATAGTGATTGTTGTTATGCTCTTTGTCTACTATGCTGAGGGTAATTTTAGCAATTTTCTTATAAGAAAACATTCAGTATTCACTCACAATGCAACTTGGGATGCTGTGCTGAAATTTAATTTTTTTTTTCAATTACAGATGGAGATTTCCTTTCTAACATTTTTATTTTAAGTAAAATGGGATGTCAACCTCTGGATTTTGTTATTATATTCTGTTTGAGTTATATATGATACGCATTTTAGTTGTTACTGCCGTTGAAGTATTAATAGGCGTTTCCTTCCTTGCCTTTTGTTTGAGGTTATGTAGAACATCAGCATTTTGAGTGCATCCTTATTTTCTTCTCAAGTTACATGTGATGTGCATTTAATCTGTTAATTTGATGTGGTTTCTCTTAGTTGGTTCAGTTTTTCGTTTGTGATTTTAGAACCGAGATTTGAAGAAGGATAGTCACTCGCTCGAAACCATTTTTAACCATTGATCTGATAAAATGGTTGTATACAATCGGCAGTTTAGATATTTCTAAACGGGTTTGGCGTCAAGTATGTCATCAATATGAAAGTCTCTATCTAACGAGTGTATGCCTCACAACATTTTCGCGGGATATTTTCTACAGCATGAAGCCCATATTATATTTAGTAATTGGGTCTGTTCAAGCGAACATGACCGTATATGACATTTACCTAAGCTGTTGTTCAAATCGGGAAGCTTGGTAATAATATGAAACAGTTGTTCTCAAACGGTGCGCCGGTAGAGAATAGCAGGTAAAGATTAAAAGACAATCAAAAATTTAGAAACAATTTTAAAAAAATACATATGGCAAAAATAATTAGGATTTCAAAATTTTAAATATTATTATGGATTACCTGTAATTGCATGCAGTGTCCAAGTATAAATAGTTATTGAGTATTAAGAATATAATTACTAGAGTCTGCAAATTGGAGGAGAGAGTGATCAATGAGGAGGATGGGAGAGTTATTATTCTGACTTCAAATCTGCGGTTATCTGCCTCTAGCATTCTCTTTGTTTGCCTTTTTTTATTTTTAAATGTACTTTTATTTCATAAAATTGGATGAGGGACGAGCAAACTTTAATTCAGAAAATGCAACCCAGAGGCAAAAAATAAGAACGATTGCAGCGGATAAGGCACTGTAAATTTCTAACGAGAGAAGAACCTTTCAGAATAGGTAATTGCACATTGCTTAGTTGTAAGGACATCTGTGTCCAGTGCTGGGTTTCCATATGGGCCGCCACCCCAATACTAGAAGGAATCAAATTTCCTCTAATCTTGGACTCTTATATAGAAGACGATAAGATTGCAAGAATCTTTCTTGAATGAGACTTATGCCAATCTAAAGCGACTTCTTCAAGAGATTGCAATAATTCTTTGAATTTTCCTTTATGCCCTCATTGACTTTGATAGAATCTATAAATAAAGTGTCAACAATTCTAGCCGTAAACATTACTGCACCCAATTCTATTCAAGTTGATCCCAACGGTGTGGTGTGCTTCATAGGTGCGGAGGGAGAGGATAGCAGGTGAGACAATCAAAGATTTAGAAATACTTAGAAATAGTTTCAACAGAATCATATGCCAATAATAAATTTCAAAATTTAAAATATTATAACGGATTAATTGTAATTGCATGCATAAATCCCAGTATAAATAGTTATAAATAATAATTAACAGATTTTATCATTGTTATATATTTTCACTATATTAAGTATTAAGGATATACTATCTAGGGTCAACAAATTGAAGGAGAGAGTTATCAATGATAATTTTATGACTTCGAATCTGAGGTTATCTCCCTTTAACCCACCCTCTTCTTTATTTGTAAATGTAGTTTTTTAATCACATAAAATTTTGTGAGGCGCGAGCAAATTTTAATTCCGAAAATGTGGTCCAGAGGACAAAGTTTGCGAACCGCTGTTATACATCGTGTGTTATTCAAGTACTGGACATTATATTGAGAGACGTATATATTATCGTAAATAAAGATAAGAACATCCATAAAGCATTAATTTGCGTTATCAAAAAACGTTTCATTTAAAAACAACAAATTCAATCAGTCTAGAAACTCAAATCGATGAGAGATGCTTTCTTTAGTGAACTATAAAACTGTCATTAACCTTTCAATTCGTTATTCTGGAGTTGATAGAATTTCGCAACGCTTTAACTAAATATGGCGTATGTTGAATAAAATCAGATTCATGAGCATTTTGTCGAATTTATAGACGTTTTATTGAAGAGAATTTATTAATAGCCTCAGATGCATAAGCTCTTTATCGTCAACCAGATTATTGCAAATCATATGCGCATCGACGAATCAGGCATTTTTTTTCATTTGCTGTCTAAAAAAACGGCTCATGCATATTTATATCTTATATCGAAGAAAAGTTATTAAAATTTTAAATGCACAAATATTTTCAATGGCTACACAGACACACACACACATACATATAAATATATATATATATATATATATATATATATATATATGTGTGTGTGTCATCTGTGTGTGTGTATGTGTGTGTGTGTGTGAATCCTATGCTTGCTTAAATGTTAATAACCTTTCTACACTACAAATAATAAATATGCATGAGAATACATTAAAAGACATGTTAACTCCGCAAAGTATATCGCTGTTTGTCTGTCTGAACCACACAAACTCTCTCTCTCTCTCTCTCTCTCTCCCTCTATCTATCTATCTATCTATCTATCTATCTATCTATCTTTTTCTCTCACTTACCCACTCCCGCAATGATCTTTAGCCTCGAGCAAACAATTTTGCCATGCTCCGATAAGCTTGCGATAATCTTCTTCTTCTTCTTCTTCTTCTTCTTCTTGTCTCTTCAGTGCTTGGGTGATCATGGCTCTCCACAATTTCCTATCCTTTGTAGCTGTTAGAAAAACGTTGCCTTTTCACTATTTCTCCTAATCCCTGTTCTGGCATCCATTTCCAGAAGATTGTCAGATAGTTTATGTAATGTTTTCCTCTTCTTTTTTTGTCTTTTGACAAAATTTCTAGGCCCTCATTCCTCATTGGGTGACTTCGAATTTTCTCCTCTTAAGAAATGTTCTGTTGTTTTCATTGTCTCTAAAATTTCGTCAGGCTCTGGTATTCACAGAAACTTTCTTTAGAATCAAATTCTCTTGCTCCAAGTCTCATCTTTATATGTGAAGAGATTATCCAACATTAACTCCTATAGAGAAAGATATATATTACATGAGAGTTCAGTACTCTTTTCTTTGTATCTAACTTGATATTCCAGTTTCTTAATACTTGGTTTCGATTTTTGAAGACGTCTATCTTTATCCAAATTGCCATTCGAATTTAGATGTGATATTTTTATCGTTTGTTAAAAAAAAACTCCTATATATTTAAATTTTTGTACTTGCTTGATTCTGGTAACTCTAATTTGTAACTTGCATGAATGTATTAATTGGTTGCAAACTACTAGACAAAATATACATACATATATATATATATATATATAGATAGATAGATAGATAGATAGATAGATAGATATCTTATTCAACTTCGGGGTTACAAAGAGTTTTGTTGGTCTCTCGCTCCAGTGCGTCCCACTAATAATAATATAAGTGGTTGCAGTCTAAGGTTAAGTGGCCAGAATTAAGGGGTGATATTGTCCGACAGCCATGACTGGGGTCTCCTGCTTGTGTAACATGATGGAGAATTCTGTTACCAGACACAGAGTCTTCCAGCAGCCACCCTCTTAAACAAGGGCAAAACTACCTTTTCAAAGCACTTGATGTTGGGTTTAAGAAGCACAACTACGCGATCACTACTGATCAATCTAAAGACCTTCATAATTCCTATTAGACACATCCAACTCTTTCCGAATCCTTTGCACTGTCCTCCTAAACAAACTAAAATGTTCGTATTGAAGCTTCCGGTGGGAATGCCAGGGAGTACTGCATGGCGTTTCCAAGTTTGTGGCGCAGTGAATTGCGTCATGGAGCTCTTTTTCACACAGATGGTGCCCAAATGATAATGTGCATTCGAAAAATCAAAAACAATTAACACCCATGCGCGAAAATAAAAAACAATAAGATGGTGACACTTTAAGCATCGGTCACTGTAAAGAGAGAAAAAACTGAACTTCATACCTAGAGTAGCCATTTTTATTGGACGGTTTTACTCCAATAAAATCCAATAAAAATCATACTGATATATATATATATATATATATATATATATATATATATATATATATATATATATATATATATATATATATATATATATTCTCGACTCTCCCGTCGAGATTCGACATAGGAGGGTCAAGCAGATCAGTTTCCAGGAATCCGACAGCCCGACAGCGGCACATAAGATTTGATTATAGTGGTGAAGGTTTCGTGCAGGACCAGCCACACTTTTTGAAGGGACGAATACAGAGACCTGGTGCACTGAGTGCCACAAGGTTCCCAAACGACCCTCCGCACGGTGGAGTAATGGATAGCGGCATGGATTGAGGAATCGCAGAGCCGAGTTCGAATTCCAGTCGAATCCATTACATTCACTTACGTGCTAATACCCTTGCGAAAGGTATGAATCCTCTTCCTCCAGCTATGGATAAAATAGAAGGACAGACTGGTTTCTATAGCCTTGGATGGCAACTGGTCTAGGAGAAGGACAACTCAGAATATATATATATATATATATATATATATATATATATACACACACATACATATATATTTATATATATATATATATATATATATATACATATACACCCCCTACACACATATATATATATGTACACACATGCACACATATACACACACACAGACACACACTTATATATATATATATATATATATATATATATATATATATATATATATATATATATATGACTGATATTTGTCGGATTTAATGACAGTTCCCGTGGGAGATACAGGTTCGCTTTCTGTCGGAGAAAGCATATTTTCTACAAAATGTCTCGTGCATTCATGCCGGTTAATGTGATTAATAATGTTTAATTAAAAATATAACACTTACTCAAATAAGTTGTATCCATAAACGTATAACGTATGAATTGAAATATATTAATAATAATAATACATATGATATAACGATTTATACTATTGTTTACATTTATATATCAACAGACTGTATTTACAAAAATAATATGACAAATTGAAAAAAAAGTTGAAACGCGTCACAATTTTTTCCCCGATTTCTCATAGAATTTCGCTAAATATATTCATATATATATATATAGAGAGAGAGAGAGAATGGCGGAAAACTCATGTTCGTACACACACACTTTTAATTTTATTGTATTTCTAACTAATGAATAAACATACTTTTCATATAATTAACTGTACAAAGATGCATAATAAATATGCAAAGGAAACAGAAAAATATTGATTAATAATAAAAAAAATTCCATTTATCTATGTTAATGGTTGAAAAAATTATTCGTACAATGCAATTTTCCGATTTTAAAACTTTTAAATTGCTTTAATGCTCTAGATTATTCAAGTGGATTATTCCACAATTTTCCAGAAATGTCGTCAGTAATTATTTAAAGCCTAAAAAATACAATATCTGTCTGTCTCTGTGGGATCAGGTTGAGATCATAGACAAGGAACACCATTGGAAAATTCGTAAACTTAAGGAATCAGCACATTTTCTAGGCCACAAAAATCCCTGAGTCGACCAAGCATAGAAATGAATACAATATGGGAACCAGTAATAAGGAGTTCCAGAGAAAAGCGATGATAACAACAAAAGGTTTCAATATGAGCTCTGGTAAAAGCATGCAACGATAAAAGCAAAAAATTGTAATATGAGCACTGGTAAAAATGATTGCTGAAGACATTAGGTTTATAATACCCTGAAATTCATGTATAGCTGTCCTCAAGGATTCATGGCACAGTGTATAAAGTCGATCCACTGACAGGACCCAAAGAGTGTGAGTTCCATACCCGGTTAAGGCAGTGGAGAGCTTTCAGAGGGAAAATTAACAGGAGATAACTGATATCCATTAAACATGGCATTAAACTAGAAAAGTCTACCCAAGTGAGAAAAATAAAGGGTTAAGTTCAACATTTCAACCACCTGAAGAAGGCAGGGGCGTACAACGGCCGAAAAGTTATAATAAATATGGCGACAAAGATGAGGACAATAGTCCGAATAATGTAAATAATATGAAAGTAAAATTATAGGCGGAAATGAGAAATTGTATCAAAATCATGAATAATGTAAATAATGTAAAAAATACAAATGTTCGGGCAAGAAGGTTTTTATCATGTCAAGAGGAAAAGAACTGACAAATTCGCAAAAAGTACTGAAAGAAAACTTTGGAAAGAAAGCAAAAGTAACAGGGAAATTATAGACAACCCGAATATTCTATTTACTACCATTATTTATTCATTGCAAGGCATAAAAAAACTCAAAACTATTGAAAACCAAAGAAAAAATCCTGCAAGATCTTCGAGGAAATTAATTCTTCAAATTAAACAAAATCCAATGGTTACTCTTCAAGGGTTGCAGGATGATTTGCTTTCAACAGGAATCTGTTTTACTAAATGGACAATAATCAATGAAATTCATAGAAACAATGTAAATCACCCCTCCTCGGAAAACACTAATGCTATTGAAAAGACACGGAGATGCCAGCTTGAAATTCGTTCCGTATTATAAGCATGAAGAAAACTCATATTGGAAAAGAATATTATGGACACACAAAAGCAAAATCCAGTTGTTTGGACGTAATTTAAGAAATCATGTATAAAGGAAAGATGTCGATGCTTTCAAACAAAAGAAAACAACAGTGAAATTTGGTGGTGGCGTCATCATGGTTTGGGGATGTTTTTTCTGCAAAAGGTACTAGCAACATATCAGTAATAGCTGGTAGAATGAATGCTGCAGCATATCAAAATGATTGTGGTTAAAAAATTTTAACTTCCTCTTGATTGGACCTTCCAACAAGATGATGATCACTGTAAAATCTACGAGGAAATGACTTGCTAAAAATACTGTAAATACACTGAAATGTCCAAGTCAGTTCCTAGATTTAAACCCAATCGAGAATCTATGGTGTTATTTGAAAATTTAAATCCACTCGAAATCTCGAACAAACATCCCGGATGTGAAAACCATATGCCAAGAAAAATAGAATAAAATAAAAAACTGACATTTTCAAATCATTAATTGATAGCTACAAGAAGAGATTACGTTGCTGTAGAAGTGAATAATGGCGATTCTACAAAGTATTTAATCGACTTGCTTTTGTTATAAATGTGGCACCAGCTATTTTTCAACAAGTATGGATACCATAATTGAGGATTGCGATTTCGATGTATTTTGATCAAGACTGTATTGAAAGAAGAACATATTGATCATGTCAAAACAATTATGAAAAAACTAAAAGAATACAGATTCAAGCTTATTGAAGGAAAATATGAATGTTTTAGCAAAAATAAAATACCTGGGTCAAATTATTGATAAAAAACGTATGATCCATTGAGGACCAATGCAATTAGAAATATACCTACACCAACACACGTAGCTGCGTTACAAGCTTTTTAAAACTAGTTAATTATTATCGAATTTATGTCTATAATATAAATAATTTGACAACTCTACTTAGCAATCTACTGAAAAATGGAGTAAAGTGGAATTGAGATCATAAATGTCAAAAAGCTTTTGACGAGATAAAAAAAAAGTCTTACATGTGATGTATGGTTAACCTACTTCAAACCGGCCTCGTCTGGGTAGGTAGACAGTCCCGAA